GTGTTCATCAAAGTTACAAGTGTCAGCTTTTTGACAAAACAGAAACAAACAGATAGAAATAACAGATCATACTAAGAGGGGCAGAAAGACAGGGAGTTAAAGAGAGGGTGTAGCACAGAGATTATTATTTTAAAAAGTTGGGATATGATATTTGAAAATTCTTTCCGGGTATGCTTTTTTCCCCCAGTATGTGAGACGTTAGGGATGTACATCAAAGTAACAAAGAATAGCTAAATTCTGATGAAGAGCTTCTGTAGCAATAATTAATATGTGAGGCCACCGACACTGGAATTAATCTTGGAAACCATCCTCAAGGTGCTGGGGAAAATAAATGTGCCATGGGAGTGCCTTAGAGTGCTGCCCTGACACTGTGGGGTCCTATCATTGATCACTGCTGAGAGCAAAGAAGTGATCACTCACAAAGCAGGCCTAATAAGAGACTCCAGATGAGGAAGGATCCTTACTCCTATGTTTGGTGAGAGTCCACATTTAATGAATAATGTTTTTTTCTGCCCCAAAGGTCAGAGCAACAAGCTTTCCTCTCTTCCTTTTGCTGGCCTATTGGAGGCCAGTTAATTCACTCCCTTTGGGTATTGATTTATTCCAGATGTAAATATGTGGCTTTAAAAACATACAGAAGAGCCAAGTTTTAGTAATATTGCATGGTTACCAAATGTCGAGGCATTGCAGATGGAAGGAGCTCTGCCCTGATCCAAACCCCCAAAGCAACTAAAAACTCCAGGAACACTTGGGCATGACACACACGTCACACTGCTTTTTAAGTAGTCATCTTGCTTCAGAATGCGTTTAGAAATACACTTTCATTGTGCTAATATCACAGTACAGATTTGTTCTTCCTCAGATTGTCTCCAGCATAAACGTACTGCCGGTAAAGATGACGGCCGAATTAACGTGGTACTAGGCAGAGGTATTGTTATTGCCATAGATAAACAGACTTACTTCCTCCTAGGGTTATTCCTGGCAAGGAATTTCTAGCAAAACATACTGCTTTCTTTTGGGTTGATTGTGATCTTATTTATTCTAGTAAGCTCATATGTATCCTCATAATTTTATAAAACTGTATTTAACACATAAAAAAGTTTAAAAAAATTTTAATGGAAAAGTTTAAAGGAAAGAGGTGGCTAGCAGGTGAGGTTTTTCTGGGCACAAACTAAGGCAGAGATGTTACTGAAAAACATGGAGAGTCTATACAAGAGAAGGAGCCTAAATGCACAAGATAGTTAGGTTTCCATGTAGATTGTGAGAACTAAGCATCATCTTGGGATCATGGAGGAATTCTGTTCAAAAATACAAACTTTATAGGTGAAACTTAAATAAATGCTTCCGGAAAAAAATGAGGTAATAGCATAGACCAAACCAATATTTATTTGCTATTTAATTCCAAATAAAGTAATTCCCCTCTGAGTTTTACACAGAGCTATTGATTTACTAATTATAGAAAAATGTTTATTATCTGCAACAATTACCAAGTATGAAGATCAGAAGGCCTCAAGTGCAGAAAAATGTAGCAGCCAAGAGTTCAAGGGTGAGGTAGTGTGCAGGGTACATTGTCACACTGAAACCGTCACGGTACAAGATACACCTAACAAGGGCTTCATCTTACCTGGGAACCCCAGTTGCACAGTCAGGCCTCTGGAGGGCCTTTTATGAAGGGACAAAATGGTTTCACCAGTGGGACCCCAATGATAGAATCGATGTTGACAATGTAAGTTTACCACCATGAGAAAAATAGTGGATGTCTGTGTACCTGTGGCTGTATGTGTGCGTGGAGGAATAGAAAGATTGGTTATTGATTTTTGTTCAACAAAATTTATCTAGAAAATGAAAAAATCAGGTTTACTTTAATAAAGGTAACTGAAATAATAAACCACTTATGTAAGTGCATTTTATTTTATTCTTTAGAAACAGGATGCTGCTATGTTGTTGTCCAGGCCAGAATTAAACCCCTGGGTTCATGTAACACTCCCACCGCAGCCTCTCAGGTAGCTGGGGTGACAGGAGCTCTACTATGCCTCACCTAAGAGGCTATTTTTATTTTTCCCATCACTTTTTTTTCTCTTAAGATGAAGAGAATGACATCTCAAAGGGATAGTTCAATGTATGTTTGGGTTTAGTAATTGCCCTCTTCCCTGACTTCAGCAAATATACTTAGATCAGCTTAGATCAGCTTAGATGAACCACAGATTTCACACCATCAGCAGAAAGTCAGGAGAGAAGATTTTTCTGTTTTTGTTGTTGTTGTTAGGGAGGAGAGGCATGCCAATAAGTAGAAAGAAATATAGGAGCTGGGTCTTCTCTCTGCTGGACTATTATAGGAATACAGAAGAATTGGGCCTTAGGGCACTGGCAGGGGCACTTGATGAATCTTCTATCAACTGGCCAAGGAGGAAAGAGTTGTTGCCGTATGTGTGTATGTATGTGTTTAAATGCTTACTAATGTCCCACAGGGCCTTTCCATGGCACAACTCTGAGACCATCCATCCCACTGTATCCCTTTTCAGCAGGCCTCACCCTCCTTGGAAAAAAAAAAAAAGAAATGAAAATAGTAATGAGTTTTACTGTCCTTTAAACATTTGTCTCTTTTGGCGAAACATTTCCTCCACACTAGTGTGGAGAGAAACATTGTATTCATTCTCCACTGTATATTTGCATTAAAATTATCACTTTTCACTAAAGAAGATGGTAAGGCACATCTGTGATTAACACTGGCTGTGGAAAGAGTTCTAGATTCCAATTCCAGCTTCTCTATTTGTGTTGCCTCAGTCATGTTAATAAGCTTTTCGGAGAATCATCGAAAAAGGGGCTGCAGTCAGATATTCCCTATGTGATTGAGTTGAGGATTATATGAGATAACATATGCAAAACCAGCCAGCCTAGTACTAGTAAATGGGGGTGAGGAGAGGGTACTAGTGTTACCTCACTAGAGGAACGTAGGCATGAAGTGGCAGGTGGAGAGTTTTATGAGTCTCAAGGACGTTTCCTGTACTCCAGGTACAATACCCTGGTGCTAGGTTAATTATACCCACCCCCCAAAAAAACCCCTTAAAAATGATAATGTTGAATCACAAGCACAAACACCTGCAGTGATTCTCACAAAGTCATCTGGGTGGTTGCCTGGGTTCGGGACAGGAGCCTATAGGGAGCTGGAAATCATGTCTCCTTATTTTGGTCAGCTAGTAATGTTGGCCAAATTCCAAATACTTTCAGACTGACAACTTGTTCAACTGCAACAGCAACCGTATGAGTAGGTATTATTACCATCATTTTAAATGTGCGAGCACTGAGGCCAAGAGAGATTAAGCAGCTCTCAATGGTAGTGCTGGGATTTCACCAGCGTCTTGGCTTCAGAGTCAGTAGGGGCCTTGCACTTTGCCCCTGTTAAACTGTATTCTACACTTATAAAAAATAATGTGTGGTGGACAAGTAGTGACGACATTCTACATAATGGATTGTAAATCATCAAGGAATTGCCCCCAAGACATTTCAACTATCAGTAAGACTCTTTTTCTTCTGACAATAAATAATTAACACATAATAGCCACCCCAAACCAATGATCATCAACGAGAACTGTAAACCTAGAGCCACATTTTCCCAAGTGCTGCTAAGATGGAATTTTTAGTTATTTTATCTCTATGCCAATGAAAACTGAGGGCGCCATGCTCAATTTTTATGATTTGTGCTTTGGGATGGAAAAATTCAATTCTACAGATTCCCTGGTAAATTTATACAATTGAGATCAGCATTACTATTAACCTTTCCTTTGCCAGCAAATAGCAATTATAGGATAACTACAGGGTAATTCCAGGGCTTTGTGCCTCTGAATACAAGGATAACTCGAACCGTTCTGACTGAAAATTTGAATTGGTTAACATAGGCTTTCTGCAGATTAGAAATACATTTTAATGATTTATTTCACCTCCCTAACTGCATGATTTTCCTTTTTTTTAGAAGTCAAGTGATTTCATGAATATAGAAAGTTTAGAACACTAGTAAGAAGACTTGAAATAGATCAAGAAACATCTTCTTCATGACTTAAGCATAAAACAAGATTCTCAGAAACAGCCAATAATCGTATGACTAGAATGTTTTCTTCTTCAATGAAATAATTCGCTGCTTCTAGTTTTTTAAAGCCATTCAAATTCTAGTTTGAATTAACGAAATTGTCAAATAAGCAAAACAGCAAAAATTAAAAACAGGATTTTCTGAAGCACAATCTATTGTTCATCCCGTCTCAACCTCCTTTTAGTTTCCAACTCTCCTTTCTTCACTTAGTTTGTTTTCCTCCCCTTTCCTTCCTTCCCCGTGTTGACCACGGAGCACAGGTGTATGTACTTTCTTTGCTCACTCTACGTTTTTACTCTTTCGCAGGCTTACGAGCTCTGCCTTCCTTCTTTCTTCCTCTTTGCCATTCTCCCCTTTATATCTACTTCTCTTTTGACCGTTGTTCCACACTGTCTCTTTCCTACTACTTTAACCAAAGTCTCTTCTCTAATCATCCCAACAAATTTCCTTCCAAAACCAGGTGGATCTCATGTTGTTCAGACACTCTGGTACTAGTGAACTCATGGTTGTACATGAAAGAGTTGTGGAAAAAAATAAACCACTCATCGACCTATTCTACTAATAAGCTAGAGTTCAGAATAAGGCAATTATGGCAACACATACCTTGTAAAAATTCTATGGATTCCTATTCACTCTTGATCATGAATACATACCCTTTACCTAGGGTGTAACATTTCACTCCTTCTATCACATCTATATGTCTGCCTATTGTTACAGAAAATTTACATAGGTTTTTAAGACTTAAAATTATGTGAAAGTGATAAAATTTCACTTTTTCCTTTATACTCCACAATAAAATTGCTAACACTTTTGTTAAGCAGCTACCACCTACGATAGTAAAGACACACTATTAAGCAATATAATAAAGAAAATTTGAAAGTCAGGCAAAACAACCTCAGTATGTTTTAAATCTTACTTTTCTTTAGATCCCACGGGTGCGTTCACCAGACGTCTCCCTAAACAAGAAGAAATGTGACAACAATTAAAATGCGAAAACGATGCTTCTAAAATGCTGCTCATTTACGTGATGCGTGTTTATGTTACTTAGCTAGAAGAAAATGTCAAATTCCAACAAGAAGGGAAATCAGTTCTATTTTGTCATTTCCCTTCATACTCACTGTTGTAGAAAGTAATTTAAAATGTTCCTTTTAAAACAGCAAGAAGGAAAACATGCTGTATTTGTTCTAGGATAAGAAATGATAGTTTTAAAATATTCAATATAGTTCCCCATCAAAATTACATGTATATGAAAAAATGAGATAGAATCATCAAATATTATTAAGTAAAGACAAATTTATGCTGGAAAAGCCTATGAGAAATTCTTACCAAATGGAATATTTCTTGCATTAGAAAGTTTTGTTAAGATTTGGTTCTTTGGTAACACTTATCAATCCCACTGAGTTGTTTTCCATAATATCAGGGATCTCTAACAGAATCTCTCAAATTATGATAATAATGTTTACAAAAAAGAAAAGAATAAAGAGAAATCTAGATTGACAAATTGTGCTGATGAAGATGCTTGATAAAATTTTAATTAAAACTCTTGTACATTTATTATTAATATTTTATTAATGTTGAGAAATATACAAGTCCATGAGTGTTGTAATATTTCAGGATTTTTGTAATTTATACATAATTCTAAAAGCTGAACAACCATACTGAAATTTTCTTGATTTTCAATAAATTGTTCACTTTTTTTTCTCTTCTGGAAGAATAGAAATGGAGAAATTAATTTTAATTTTGACTTTATGTGAATCTTAGGCAAGTTGAGGTATTAATCCACTACTGCAAATTTCTAGAAAATGAGAACTAATCTAGGGTGACATAGAGCAGATTGGCGGTTGCCTGCAGACATGGGTGGTGAAGGAGAGAGGAAGGCATTAAAGAGGTCATAAATAAACTTTTGGAGTAGATGGATATGTTTATTATCTTGATTGTGCTGATAATACACAGGCCTTTAAATGTGCTTTATAGATACATACATGTGTCCAAGCTCATTACGTTGTATGTATTAACATGTGGACTATATTACATGTCAATTATACCTTAATAAAAGTTCTAAAAAAGGTGGAAATGTGAAACATGTATTTAAGAAAGAACATTAAAAAATGGATAAAGCATGGAAAAAATGAATGTGGGTTGGTACTTTTGCAATTTTTGATTTATAAGTTTATCTGGTTGCTATGTAATAACCAAGTTGAGGAGACTGTGAATGAGAGTGGTGATGATATTTTGTGAGGAGGCTTGGACCACCATGTTGGAAGTGGAGATGAAGCATGATAGATGGACTCATGGTACACTTAGTAGTTGCAGACAAAAGACTATCGGTGAAGATGTGGCAGAGTAAGGAACTGAGGATGGCCTCTGGGTTTCTTGAAGGATGGTACTGCTGTTTCGTGAGATGGAAAAGATTGGGAAGGTGATAAGATTCGAAGGGAAGAGAAGAGATCCATTTGGATTTATCATATTTGAAATGACTGAGAGATTGCCAAATAGAAATATGAAGGTAGGCAAAAGTTTCTAGAACTCAGAGGAAAAGTTTGAGTTAGACAAATAATTTTGAGAATTACTAGCATTTCCCTAAAAGAGAGAGTGGCTGCCATGGAATGGAGGCAAAAATCATTGAAGGGAAATAGATAAAAGAACCTAGAGTCAGGATGGTAGATGACTCAGCTACTTGATTGTGCACATCCTTTACATAACCAGAATGAGGGTGAAAAGAAGTTCCATGAGCCAGAAACTAATATTAATTATTTCTTATATTTTGAGAAGCTACTTTCTAATGTTTATGCTTAAATCTCTACAATGTAGGTAGAAAACAAAAATGGATTTCAGTAATTATTCTAATTTGCCTACAGTTTTAACCTTAAAATTATCCTCAAAGACCTTTTGATGTCCAATTAATTATTTAAAAGATATTTTTAACCAACTCACCTAAATTCCATCTGTTAAAAAACCTTGATATATGTTTTGTTACATACATACTTTGTAAATGAAATTAGAAGTGAAGTACAGTCATGTGCCACATAACGACATTTCGGTCAACAGTGAACTGAATATATCACAATGCTACCATTATAATGGAGCTGAAAAATTCCTATCACCTAGTGACCTGGGAGCTGTCATAATGTTGTGGTGTGACACATTACAAACATGTTTATTGTGATGCTGGTGCCAACAAACCTACTGTGCTGCCAGTCAAGCACATACAATTATGTATATTATATAAAACTTGATAATAAATGACTGTTATTGGCTTATATATTTACTGTACTACACTTTTTACTATTATTTTAATCTATGCTCCTTCTCATAAAAAAAAAAGTTAACTGTAAAACAGCATAAGGCAAATCATTCCAAAATTATCCCAGAAGACGTTGCTAAATCATAGGAGATGACAGTTTTCCAGGCCTGTTATTGTCCCTGAAGGCCTTCCAGTGGGACAAGATGTGGAGGAGATATAAACAATCTTGACCCTGAGTAGGGCTAGGCTAATGTGTGTGTTCATGTCTTACTTTTTAACAGCAACAAAAAAGTTTTTAAAAGTACAAAAAAATTTAAAAAATTCAAAAGTAGATAAAAGCTTGTAGAATAAGGATATAAAGAAAGAAAATACCTTTTGTATAGTTGTGCAATATGTTCATGTTTTAAGCAAAGCATTATTTTAAAAAGTTAAAAAAATTAAAAATGAGTGACAAAAAATAATAGTAAGATAAAAGACTGATTTATTTATGAAGAAAGTGATTTTTTTGTAAAGTTAGTGTTGCCTAGTTGTTCAGGGTGTAAAGTCTACAGTAGGGTACAGTCATGTCTTAGCTCTTCACATTCTCTCACCACTCCCTCACTGACTTATCCAGAACAACTTTCAGTCATACAAACTGATTCATGGTAAGTATCCTAAACAAATATACCACTTTTTATCTTTTATAAAATATTTTTACTGTACCTTTTCTATGTTTAGGTATGGTTAGATACACAGACACTCAGCATTGTGTCACAACTGTCTACTGTTTTCAGTACAACAACATGCTATACAGGTTTGTAGGCCAGAAGGATTAGGATGCCATCCAGGTTAGTGATAAGTATAGTCTATGATGTTCACACATTGGCAAAATTGTGCAATTATGTATTTCTCAGAATGCATCCCTGTCATTAAGTGATGCATGACTAATCAGAAGTTTACTAAAGTTTTCAAAGATGTCAATATAATTTGCAACTTGAACAAATTTGCAACATGTATGTGAAATGTAGAAAAACATGTAGAAAAATGTAGAAAAACATGATTTGCTGAAGGAAGCCGTAAAATGTAAACAATGATGCTCCCAGATCAGCTGCTCTCACACGCTCATAGAGATCAATCACAGAAAGAGAGCAAACAGTATTGGAATTATAGTTTGTTATTATAGAAAGGGAATCATACAGGAATGTCATGGCCGTATAAATGGTGTTCTTCAAGGTAATGTTTAGCTGAAGAATGATCTATGGTAGACTTGGTTTTGCAGTTTCCACAGGCTTTGTGCATTACTGACCTGCTGGGAAGTCAACATCACGATTTTTGTTTCTTCATTTGTAAAATGGAAATTATACAAAAATCTCCATAGCATTTTGGTGGGAATAAATAGGATAACACACAAGAAAATGCAGTATACTATGTAAAACAACATAGACTGCAGAAATGACACCATCACAGCAATAATAATGGGGCATTATAGCTAAATCCAGCACCTGATATTACTCAAAGAAACATCAAGCAAACTGAATTTGGGTATTGTATTTAATTAAATTTAGAATTTTCTGAGTCATTAGAAAGGGTCAGAAATGAATAACATTGACACTTCATATATTGTCGAAATAAAATAAATGAAAGAAATTAGATTACTTTTTTCTTGTCTTTTTTTGTACTTTGCGTAGTTTGCTGAATGTGACTTTTTTGGGACACACAGTAGAAAAGAACGATTGAAGACTTGTTCTTGTTTCATTACTTAGACTGAAACACAATCCTGTTTTTTCCATCCTTCCCATTATCCTCTTAATTTTCTTCTAAATCTTATAATTTACTTTTTACTCCTTTCTCCATTTCTTATTGTGATATTTTACACTTTTTCATTATCTTATCTTTTAACAAAATTAAATTATTAATCACCATTTATAACTGTTTTTTATTTTACTTTTAGTAAAAATAATGCAAATTTTCATTTTTATAAAAATATTTTAATACCTACCTTTGGAAATTTAAGAAGAAAAAAAATAAAGGACTTTCATAAACATCACTTTTTCTTTGCATTAATATACATTTTATAAGGACAGTAATGGTATTATGTTGTATTGTTTTTTACTTACTTTTTCAAGACACTTTAAAAATGATGAGTTGTTTTTCTGCAATATTTTTTGCCTAGTTATTTTTAAATTTTAATTTTACAGGTGAAACATAATTTGTTAGACTTGTCAAGTAGGCTGTTGGTTCTTTTATCTAAGCACCCTTATGATAAACATCCATAAGGCTACATATTTGCATAAATCATGATCAATTACTTGGGATGAATTGCTATACTGAGTCAAGCCTATACATTAAATTATAAAAACTATAATACCTGTTGCCGAATTATACTCTAAAAATGAAATAACATTTAACACTTCTAAAAGCAAGATGTGAGAGTGCCTACTTCCAGGGTAGATATTATCCTTTGCTGATCTTTAAGTTTGTCAATTTTATAAGTAAAATTATATCTTTTAATGTTTCAATATGTTTTTCTTTTATTACCATTTGTATTAATAAGGTTTTCCTATTTTTGATTTGTTCTTTGTTATTTCTACAATACTCATACATGCATTTTGCCTACTTATCTATTTGAGTAGGACTTTTCTACAAGTAATTGTAGAAACATTTTGCATATTAAGGATGTTAACTCTATTTTTGGTCTTCAATTACCAGGGGGCCCTCCTCATAAAATACTTT